ACATTACTCAATGTACCTGGGCAACTCATTAACTGTCCTCCACACATTAGCATGAGAGTTTCATTCACTGACTAAAGCTACGAACCGAGCCCGGCTGGCACCACTATTGTGTTGAGCCCCTGATGCTCCAGTTGAATATCAGTACCGTCGAACTTTGTTTCACCTAGAACCTCAGCTCTCAAGTTGATTTCCATTATCAATCATCCGAGATAGCTCAGAGCCCAGAGGCACAGGTTAGCTAGGGAGTTAGCAAGGGATCCTGAAATCGCTTCGTACACCTGCTCAGAGGAACGAGAAGCGTAGCTGTCACAGTTGGCAGTTCAGGTGGCCAAATTCAGCTTACTGCCGCATCGGTTTGACGTTCTTAACTGAAAAAATGCTGTTAAGTGGTTCGATCAGAAAGTGCGCGGTAAACCGCGCGGATGAACCAACGTTGGACTCATTCTGGCATGCACGTTGTTTGGCGTAACAAGGCAAGTTGACTTTCAGTAAAAAGCCAAAGAGAGCGTGCTATTCACCATGTACATACCAGTTGCTCAGGACCTACACGCATTTAGGCGAATAGTGTGGTTTGCTCGGGTCTTGACAAATTTCCGCATGTAGAGTGATATAGCTTTTCTCTGCGTCCCAAAAAGTGGCCGTGCATCCGGTGAACAGCTGCTTCGAGTGATGTCGCAAATTTAAATCGAAATTGTGAAAATGAGGAGGAACTACCGGCCATGATAGTACTTCACATACCATAAATTAGTTGGACCAAGCGGATTTTCAGAGAGTTGTTCTTGTTGTTCGGTCTCAGTACACTGCACAGCTGATCTCCTGGTGACACAGGAAAATTCACGATATATTTTACACGAACGCAATAAGCCTTTAAAGTGTACACATCCGAAACTGAGTCTAGCTTGAGCAGTAAATATTTGGGTCATATAAACCGGGGAGGTAACTTCCGGCATCAATCGCAAGAGAATATCATTGGAGAATCCACCTGCACCGATTATAGATTTTTCACAAAAGCTAACCAAAGTAGTGCACTGCATCAAAAACTTCGAACCCCTGACCAGTGATCTTTCACAGAGAAGGCAGTAAATGCACATTTCACCGTTCTACCGCAGATTCTGCTAATGCTATCTTGTTCCCAGCACGTGGAACATACAGATAACGATGAAATCAAACCAATCCACCCAAAGATGCTCACCCTGAGTAACTGCTTAATGAGTAGAAGTTGGATGGATAACCGATGTGTGAATCGTAGAACTAACTACTCCACTGTTTATCTAGAGAGTATTCAGTCACACAGGTTAGGATGGTAGCCCTAGCCTTGTTTGAATGCAAGACATCTACTCACCTACATGCAGTTTGCGTAATGAACAGTCAGGTCTGGACTGAACATATGGGGCCAACCTCAAGAAGTTTCTCAATAAAACGCAAATGGCCTCTCAACTTCACCGTATGCAAATGGAGCCTGAAAGTAACCCGTTACACACGGTTGAGGTGTGGACGTGTTTCAGTTAAGCCTTGAACGAAGTGCACCTTAATCAACCGACTTCAGCTGCGTAGGCGTATTGTTCGATTGGATAGTAAAGCTATTGTTCATGAAGCTGGTCAATCAACAAGACAGTTTCCATCTCTGGAAATAGACGGAAGACGGCTTATGGATTTCATTTGTTTGTAATTGTTCTTGTCGCTGCATTAATTCTATGTTGGTGGGACGTATTCAGTTGAAGAATGTCATAAACGAGAGGTTCGGCTGGGACTCAGTACAGTCTCTCGTTAACACTAGGTAAATTCGCAGATGAGTGTATTCCGCGGCTTGCACACGTGACGTTCAAATTGATCATGATTATCCATAATTCGAGAGCTCCCTCCCCCTGACCTTGAGGGATGGAATTCCTGCTAACGTAACCTGCAAGATCATGACAGCACTCAAGCTCAACTACCACCAGGATAGCAGCTCTTGAGTTGGATTAATGTTAATGCCCCAGGACCGTAAACGGCCCCTGTTGCATTCAACCCGTAAGCGAATCAGTTATTCCTTCACAGAACGACAAAATGTGCGGACGCATGTATTTTATTACTGGCCGTTTTCTGTATGCAGCAGCTCATCTATTAAACTATCTTTACAAGTGAAGAATACAACTACCCGCCCTCAATAATGGCTGTGCACGATACTCAGGAGAAATGACCCATTCCTCCGTCCAATTTTGCTTGTTTCCGTCGTAGTTTTTACACGGTTCGTTGCATCTTTGTAGCAGTTTCTCTGGAACAAGCGATTCATTAACTCATCAATACATACAATGCTTAATATACTAGCAGTGTACTGGAAACGAATTTGACCACGCCTGCTCACAAAAGATAATTGAAATGTAGGTATTTCCCGACTGGAGTTTTATTGTCGGATGTGCATTGAGATTTACTATGCCAAATTGATAGAAATTTGGGTTGGAAAAGCGACTATTATGCGTATAGTTTAGTGTTAGGGTACAGCTGTTTCCGGTAGCAAAAGCCTTCTCAATATCCCGAGTTTTCGATGTCCACCAGAGATCTCAGTCTTTCCTTAGGCTCTTCGCTATTTGGGGTTCCTAGGATTTGTGTGCGCCGTCGTACTCGCTGCCTGCTGGTACAAATTTCCTGGCGTCAATCAGGACTAACGATCTCGACGACATCCAATGGTCTTGTCATCCAATATACGTTGGACAAACAGTATTGAACGACGCTAGCATACAGCTCCTTTCACATTTTGTCATGATTCATCCAGGTGCTGACTACCATTACAGTGTTGGTTTACTGTGGAGAGTTGTCTGGATAGCTCAGATCGATACTATTCAACAATGAGATGGTGGATTGACATTCTTTTTGCTAATTTGCGAGGGCCTGAAGGGGAGCGAACTGTCAGGCGTGCACACAACACGACGTGATTAGAATAACGTTCTGTGCCCCAGGAGGAACGGCAACTTTGATCGTGTGGATGATAGCCATGTGATCCAAGTGGATCCACGGTTGACTTGAAGTTGGTGGCCGCCAGGTTATTTGGTGCGAACGGCAGAAAGTATTCTTCAAAGCGTCAGAACTGAAGTCCACGAATTTAGCATATATTAGTATGTTTATTGATAATAGGAAGGAGGGTGAATGAGCCATATCGGTCAGATAATTGGGTCAAAAGATCCAGCAACGTTTGGTTGTGTACTGTGAACAGGTTGGTGAGGGACATGGGTAGACTAAGAACTACGCGGGCAAATGGTTTTTTCTGGTCGCTCGGGCCGAGGAATGAGGTTTGGTTGGAGTACCCCACTCTGAGCCTTTGACTCCAGTCTGACCCACAACGCAGTGGAAGAATGTAGGTTTCTCTTTGGGACTCCTCCCCGACCTAAAGCTGCCACCTTGACGAGGTGGCATGGTGCGTGCACGCCTGGCAGTTCGCTCCTCTTCAGGCCCTCACAAATTAGCAAGCATGCCAATCCACTATCTCCAAAGAACGACCATAACTCAACAGTACCGATCTGAGCTAGCCGAACGACTCGCCACAGTAAATCAATACTGCACTGGTAGTGAGCATCTGGATGAAGCGTGACAAAATGTGAAAGTAGCTATGTTAGCGGCGTTCAGCGCCGTCCGTCCGACCTCTCCGATTCAACCATCAGACCACTGAATATCGGCGGGGTCGCTATTCATGATTGATGCGAGGAAAGCCATACCAGCGAGCAACGAGTACGACGGCGCACGCAAATTTTGAGAACGCCAAATAGTGAAGAGTTCAAGGAAAGATCGAGAGCTCTGGTGGAGATCGAAAGCTCGCGAGATGGAGAAAGCTTTTGCTACGGAAAACAGTCGTGCCCTATATCAACTGATACGATCGACTGGTCCTAGGAAAGCAACGGTCAGCGAAACGATAAGATGGCTCATTAATTCACTCACAAAAACGTCGACTAGAAAGATGGGCCCAACACTTCAAAGAATAATTCAGCTGGCCCCCTGAAAAACAGCCTGTGAAGATAACGCATACGGGCGGATAGAACGTAAACCTTGATAGCCCGTCTGAAGGACTAAAGTACAAAATATTCGTACTGAAACGCGAGAAGGCACCAGGGCGGGACGGTCTATATCCAGCCCTTTTAAAAAAAGGCGGAGGATCCCTGGTGACCCGTCTGACAAAGCTTATTAGTGCTATATGACGCGAAGAGAAGCTGCCTGCAGAATGGGGCATTTTGACCGTTTTCCCTATCTTCAAAAAGGGTACGCGTACGCTGTGCGAAAAGCACTGTGGAATCATCCTGTGCTCCTGTGCATCGAAGGTGCTCTCTGGTTTTACCCTGTGAAGGTTGACTGAACACAGGAAGAGAGATCCGTGAAAACCAAGCTGGGTTCCGTCCGGCAAGATGTATCGATCATATCTTCATCCGACAGATTCTGGAACGGCGACATTGCTTCCAGCAACCAACAGTGGCTGTATTACTCGATTTGAAAGCTGCCTTTGACTCTGCGGCCCGTCAGACATCATGACAGTGTCTGTGGAGCAGGTGTTCTTCATAAGTTCTTGACCTTCCGAAAGGCGCTGTACGCCAACTCCCACAGCCGTGACAGTCCACGGAAAGGTTTTTCATAAAGGAAACTACTCACAAGGTTGCTGAAAACTCTTTGACAGCCCACGACCGGTTTTGTCCTTCTTGGATATGCTGGTCGCCTACCACCTCCGCACTCCTCTCCAGGGAGACAGTACGTCTTCACATCCAGACCCCCTCATGGTGAGAGGTCATGCTGCGCTTAGTTTGACTTTCCTCCTTTGTCCTTGGCTTGGTTGCACCTTGTGAAACGACGTCCCAGGCAGTGTAACCCGCGGGATCACTGCAACACTCAAGACCGGTCACCGCGTCAGGGTGGCAGCCTTAAGTCGGGACTGCGAAGGCAAATGCTCATAGGTGCTAGTTTTTACCGGTTACAGATTCGGTCATTGAGGCTTCAATAACGCATTATGTCCAGTGCTTCATTCTTAAACGTTTCAATTTTAGCGGCTATCTCAATTTAATAGCACAATGTTTCGCTCCCAGTTTGTAACACTACGTTTCAGTTGGTTTGGCGTTTTTTCACTATGGTTTTGGTGTATTTTATTTGCTCTGAGGTTGTTCGATCATCTTCGCACGTTCTTCCCCCAGGTATACAAGGACGATTGGACACGAAAATCGACAGCGCTGAGTTGGCTACCTGGAACTGCTGGAATCCCAGTGCCTAACATACCATCTCGAAACTTATTGCAGAAAGATGTGCACCTTGAAAATAAAGCTTCCAATGTGAATGGGCCTAGGAAGCCGTCTATGCAACACAGCCTGGGACCATATCAAGCGAACAATTTCAGCCACAATCTTATATCTCCTGGTATGGAGCGTCACAAACACGACGACCACCACCACCACCACTGACTGTGATACAAATTCTGTGATTTCACGGAAAAGCAAATAAAATAGCCTGTATTTTCCATATTCGTGTAAAAACAAGGGTGAGTATTTACAAGGGTAGTGCAAAAGGGAGGATTCAGCTTTGTTTCGCTAAAGCATCCACCGCATGAGGCACAGTGGCAGTATTGTTCTTCATAGGCGCCTCCTCCATAGGCAACGAAGAGGTTTCTGGAATACCGGTATCCCATTTGCTACGTTTCTTTGGTTCTGGAAAATAAACGGGGTAAGCGTCGAAGGTTAAACACTGTCAAACGGAGGGGTATTTGTTGAGCAGGGGAATTCGGCTGCAACCTAAGTTTCTAGCTCAGTAAACATATCAACAGCCATCGTTGCAATCTGGGCTACCAACACCATTTTCCACTGTAGATGAGTTTTCATTCTGGTTCATGATAGGCACCGACCCGAGTTTATGGACGGACACTATGGCCGACTTCCGTGTCCGCGCGGATACCGCAGACAGTCAATTAGGCGTGTTTGAGGTTTATTGTTTTGAACATCCAAGATGAGCTTTCCGAAGGGCGATGAATACAGTTTCTATAAATTGCTAACACTTGGAGACTAAAATGAACTCCGAGCTCACGTTTGGTAGACCGGTGAGACAAGAAATCAACGAAAAATGTGCGGCGTCGAAAATTAAGTAACGATCCACAGACAACTTTGTCTTACACAGTCAGGAACGCGAAATCCGAGAATGGAGAACGTCACAGCAGGACAGAAGGCGTTAACCAAATTGAGGATTGAACAAAACCGGGTTGTTGATTATTTCAATGTGGTTAAGAGGAATAGTCAACCCATATTTCCATAGGCCCAGCAAATAGCGCATCAATCATATTTGCAGACGGAACTGTAATGAAGTCGGGAAACCGAGTCGCGAAATCGAGATAGTTCACTGGTTAAGGTGAGGACTTACTGACTGGAGGATACCTGGTTTGAACCCAACCTTGACATCTCCACTGCTCCTGTCTAGGCTTGGGTAACCCGGTGGTGTCTCAGCTAGGCATTCAGTGGTGTATTAAGCCGGACGATGGTACAGATGTTCGTTTATGGATTTATTACAGAATTGTAGAGGTGAAAGTAAACGCAAATTGTGCGTTTGGGGCTGTTGTTGGTAAGTATATCCCCGAATTTCCTACTTGGTAGCCTCATAGAAGTATCTGTGGCTTCCCTCAAACTGTAACCAGAGCGATGCATCCAAGCTTGATGCCGGTGAAACGGAGAGCATCAAGGGCCAATGAGTATCGCTTCGCTCGCCAAATGCGTTCGAAGCCACATCGGATGTTCGTTCGCATTGATTTTTTGCCCATATACAATAGCCTGCTGACAGTTTACATCAATCCCTGCTTGAGTGGTATGTTGTCATATGGTCTTCTTAAAGGAAGCGTCATCAAGAAAACATTTTACAGGCTACAGGCTTACAAACAAAGCATCCTGTAACACGGATCGTAGGAAAATAGGAATTTGCTGATCTTCATTCGCATGCTTAAATAACATGGAACCAGACTGCAGCTAAGGTATCCTGTCGGACGATGACTGACTATTACTTCAGTGCACGAGTTGATTGTCGGATGGGGGAACCATCTGGCACTTACGGTGATTCAACTATCTAACAGCAGAGTTATCATCTCGACCACTGAAATAAGTCATTGGCCACTTCGTCATATCTCATCCTGTCGTGGCCCCCAGCTACGCTTGAGCTGTCTAGTAAAGCTATCGAATCGACATAACCCCGGATACGCAGCTGTTTGAGGCGAAGTGCGAGAGTTCAGAACCAGTAAAGTGCCTTGTGTTGGGGTCAGTGAACGATATCTTCACATTGAACATGTATCTCTTCGTCTTATGTTTGAGTCATCAGATCTGCACATTACTTTCCAATATTTCATATGTCAGGCTACTGTGGTGATTCCGTAGAATATAGCTCTCAGTTATCCAGTTGTTTCGGCGAACAATGTGATATAACACTAGTTTGCCTATATGAATCGGTAATTCTCTAAATCCTCAGCGAAGTAAGATGCAGGGACACTGTGACCGTCCCCTATCCCATGTTTGAACGATTTTTCTCCGTTGGTGTGTGCCACTATCGGTAGCTTACCGGATAGTTGTAGGTGGTTGAGGGATTCGTAGAATATCATATCCAATTGACAGCCAGTTCCGTAAGGCCAACCGAGGTGGTAATCTTACCATCCCTTCGCGTTGTTACAGTATGGGAAAGACCGGATGACCAAGCTTTTAAACTAAAAAACTAATTATGGTAGGACTCATTTGGACAAGAAAATCTACCGTTCGGAGCGAGCCAATTACCGGAAACCAGGATAGGGTCACGTCTCCGATTCCAACCGTGGCGTGAAGTGCTAAGACTTATCATTTGACACCAATTTTAGAAGAACCTTGCGTGAGAACTGCTGCGCAGTATATATCAAATGGTTAATCGAACGCTGACCATGTGTGATCTGATAGAAGTACTCATGGCACTTGTAGCTATCTAAAATCACAGAAAAAGGACAATCTGTTTCTCTCTTGTAATTATTTGCGGCTCCGCGTACAGCAACGCCGAAGAAGGATCAAACAATACTGGATTTGTCCCTATGCTCATGATCGCGAACATGTAAGTCTCCAAACTAACACCAATACTCAGATCACCGGAGGCTACGCCTTTCCTTGAATCTTGAGGTAAGCCACCGATAGTAGGCGGTAACGTACCTGTATATCCGGTGGCAACTGAACCACCCGAAGATGTGTTAAGGACGGGTTGTGAAGCGGTTTTAGTCAGCCCACCTGATAGAGCACCTCCTCCAACTTTAATACCAGTATCATTTGACGTCTGGTCTGCTTTCTTTTGTTCTTTTTGCAGCTTCACCAATCTATCAATTTCTCGGTTTTGCACACGGGCCAGCTCGTCGTAGTAGGATTGGGGAGCCCATCGGTATGGATTATATACTTCCTGAAAAATAAAATACAGTAGACGTGCAGTTAGAGGTAATACTGTTGGGTCATGAAATCGTTCCACAATATCCACATAACGAAGGGCTTCCACATTCGACGTACATCCCATCGACCCTGGGATATACGTTGCAATACTGGGTTTTAATCCGTGGAATGGAGTGTGCCAAACTTACCTTATCAATACAGGGACCCTCCACTCTAAGATTGAATTCTACAGGGAGGAAATCGGGGTGCCCAAAGCATCCATCACCGATCTCCTTTCGGTGGATTACACTACCCCATTCTCTATTAGCACATATCGAAATACCTGCAGGAAAAATCTGCTGTAGTGCCAATAAGCCACATGGTTTGTTTCATAGACGTAAGACTGCTCATAAGTTACTTTCAGTTTAATTGGAGCTTAATGGGGGGTTGATGCCTCAACACAAACTACCTGTGCCTTTCACACGCCAAATTTAGTTATCGGAACGTTTTTAACCTCATAGTAGACCCTGAGCGTGTCTCGCAGTCTACCATCTGTCCAAAAGGTCATATTTTCGTACTTTTTATGCAATTCCCAGCGAATGTACTTATCACAAGTTACGGACCAAGTTGGCTGACGGGTAAGGCATACATACCATTTTGAACCTCTACCACTTCCTTAGAAAGCGTATCTTGTGGTAACTGTAAGTACCGCTCACCTACTTCTTCGGAAAACTCTCCACGTCCGAAAACCTCGAAAAATTTCGCTATTATATTCCATTATCGTGACGGAGATTATTTCTATTACCGGCCACTTCGTTTGTCACGTCCGGACTTCACTCTCAAGCAGTTAGCAAGTATGGGCTGAATCACACTCGCTGTTCATACCACGTTTATAGACGGCTATCGAGAAGAATGATGAGGAGCGTGAATTGGGTTGGCTAGACCGGGAACTGGATCTTCCTTCCTACAAGAGGGGGGAATTTGACTGATTTTATGCGGCATGGAGAATAGTGAAGTGGTACACTGGTTTCCCTCAACACTGTTCACGGTCCTAAAATATTAACTTGTTGGGAAACTAGTTTGTCATAAACACAGCTATCCTCCACACAATAAATGGAGGAGCACCGAGGAGTTGCGTTTACGTCGAAGCCAACACGATTCGACCGCGAACCATCTGATTTAGCCAACTTTATTGGTGACTTCAAAAATAATCTCCGCCTGTTTGTCTCCGGGAGACAGCAACACTGAATGAATTTCAGCTGCACTAGCTTACGGTCATGGATTTATGTAAAGGAATCAAATCGATAGGCAGACGAAACAGCCATCAAGATGCACCACATGTAAGCATGTCTTTAATTATTCGAGCCTAGTCAAATGGCTACGGCAAAAACAGTCGTTTCTGACTCTTCTGCTGGACGTTGCCCAATTCAAGACTCCTATTAACGTTGTGCAGTTCTCCCTGCTCATACATCTAAATAGCGCTGCATTCTCCAATGGCCACTGGGAGCGTACTGGTACATTTGCAACTGAAAAATTCGTTCACTCTAATAACTAGATGAGCCGCAATTTTTTGGTTGAGCGAGCTGGTATCAGAGCTCTGCCTAATAAGATGGACTCTACGCACAACCCCATTATGGTGGAAAGAGTAGTGTCATGCCCCAACATCATTGACATAGTCAGTTTCACGACTTACGGAAGTTTCCTTACCGAAATAAAAGACAATGTAGGGCTAATACAAAGTAAGGCCGATCGTCAAAGTTGTTATTGAACTGAGCTTCTTCGAACTGACCGTTTCTCGTCAGTTGTAACCCAGTGCGATGCATCCGCAACACAACTTCGAAGTTCGGGTGCCATGAAACAAGATCGAGCGTTTGTTGACTGGTTTTCTGCTGGCTGTTGTTGATCCACTTTTTGATGTCGATTCTGCACAGTGGTTCCCAATCATTTAATTCTCTTGTTTCTTGATACAAATTCAAAAAGGACGTGGAATTTAGTACGGGACATTTCGATTGACTGCTCTGTAGTAGCTGCCAACCTCTGGCGGATGTCAGACACTAGATGTAGAGAAAGCGAAACTAGCTTCACATCAATAAAAACTAATTGCAAATGCATTGCAGTTATTCGAGTAAACGTTTCAGAACGACTCAGTTGCTCAGTTTTCACCAAGAGATAGCTCAGTGGTTAATGCGTCAAATTACGGACCGCAAGGACCGTGATTCGAACCCAGCCTCAGCATCTCGACTGCTCCTGTCTAGGTCTGAGCGACCTGACAGTATCCCAGCCCTCGCACCGCTTTCCGTTGGCATTGAAACTAACCACCGAAAGGGTGCTTCAGCCGAACGATTTTTAATCTCTTCTGCGAATCAAGGTGTGATTCTGCCACAGACTAACCGATGAGGAGATTTATCTTTCCTGTGAAACTAAAGAATATATCGAACAACTGGTCTTTCGTGGAAGGCAAATCTCTCACCGGTAGTTTAAAATTCAATTCGATTTCCACTAACAAATTGATATTGGTTTCTTGCAACTCCTCAGGAAACACTGCACTTGGAGACGTATAAATTATGTGACTCAAAGGAAAACCTCGTTTCGGGTCCCCGCTGAACTAAACTGAAAAGGCGACGCGGGCAATCAGATACAAACCAAATAGTTGAGTAGAGAAAAATGCTAACCGAACGCTACCTTCTTGTCCCTTTTTGGATGCAAATTTACTTTGGAAGCCATGTAACGGTGAGTTACGCTTCGGCGGGTAGCGCGGTGTGTACCTGCGTAAAATAAGTTCAACACAATTTCAATCCCTCTTGGTGATTCGAATTCAATGAAGCATACAACCTGTCAGAGAAGCGGGGCTTTGTGATGACTTTCCTATTCCAAGTTGTCAAGCCTGAGTTCGGACCAGGCTTTCAGTCCAGTTGGTTTGGTAGCACTTGTCTCTAACTTGAGGCCGGTTTGGAAGTTGATCATCACAGTCTATCCTACCTGCTCAGGCTCTGCGATCAGTTTTCATCCAGTATTCGAAACATTATTCATGCTAAGGGTGCCCTAGTATTTTCCATTGGTGGAAATTCAGGAAGAATCGATAAAAACCTTAAGATAGTTCAATGCATATCTGATGACTCAACATCACCTAAGTCCAAAAAAACGGAAATGTACATTTCTCAGATATATAATTGTAACCCATATGCCACGGATATGAAACCGCTACATTCAAACTGAACGCTTAGGAATGGAACAGTGCGGGACAACCTGTAGTAGACAGTGAAACTCACGTGTCCTGCAGCGAAAAGTACGACAAACCGTTAACCCTGGGTACACATACCTAGGCTTGCCACACTTCCCTAGATCGGAACAAAACACTGATCTGTTATCAATAACACAAGGTGCAGCATTTAAACAATACGGTGTGATGGCCATGTTGAACAGATTGTACTATGGTCTTGAGAGTTAGATTTTTTGTACAGTGGTTGCACATTTTAAAGGCTGTTGTTCGAAAGACAATAGTTCAATCGTAGCTTCTGGTATAAAACTTAGGTCCACCTCTAGAATCTCAAACACAAAGCCCACTTAAAATGCCAAGTGTTGGTTTCCTGAGTTGTGAAACATTAATGGCAGAACCCGAACCTCGGGAACTTAAGGTATTTTTCAAGCGGACCATAGTGCATGGGGTGACGTGAACCCGTAAAATGGCACATTTTGGAGAACCCCAGCAGGGTGCATCAATCATTATTCCTTCTCCTGGCATATATGTCCCAGAAGTCCTCTAATGTTTGGGTCTGACCACATAAAACTGCCGACCACCAACAATCAATCCCGAAAATTTCTTCAATCCTTATTGCCATTTGGTATGGTTTCGTTTCTCTGCACCTACTTTTGAAATAGTTGCAAGAATTTCCCAGTAGCTACTCTTCATTGTTAAAATACACCTGACCACTATTGATTACCTCCATGGACGGCCAAATCTTGGGAGTTTCAGTCTTCCTCATTGCTTCTAATCTTTCTTTGAAGAGTTGGCGAGCATTCAGCACCTCGCTCGCGTTTCCCTAATTGTTTTTTTTCGGTATTTTGGAGAGGACTCTTCTACAAGCGGTTTCCTCTAGAGTTCACTGTCCAGTGTTCACTAGTTCATGAAGTAAGGAAGTCCTATTTCGAAGAACAATTTTGCTCGCTAACACCACCAGACGCGGATACAAAGTCCGCAGGGACTTGTGCACTCGGGCTGATCGTTTACAGTGCAACAGACATTTAGTTATGGGGCCGGTCTACCTTAGAAAATAAGGACACAAGTGTAACACGGTGCACGTGTGAAATGATCACATGCACGAAGTGATGCTTTTGGAGGTGTACTTACCACAGACTACATGGACTGAGTCATTTGCAGTACCTTGGTATAGTACGCCAACAACCAATCAGTACAGTTTCCAAAACAATTTGTATTACAGCAGTAAGATTATACTTTGTTCTTCACTTACCGGGGGAAAATTTGTACCCTTCTCGTCTATGTTCAAAAAGGCTATTAGCTTCTCGTAGATACTGCAAAGAGGAAATATAATCAAGAAATGAACACAAATAACAAACCTGGGATTACGAAAAGCCTTGTTATCCTGTATGGCTCTGTTGGGATCGTAGTCAATTTCAAGTCGCATTCGGTGCACTTCACGATCCACTCTCTCCTGGAGTTTCATTGGACAGTGTCCAGAAGGTTCTGGTGGTAGCTCCACTTCCTCTAGTAGTTGTTTGATTTTGCTGCGATCGTAGGAGGGTTCAAAAACTGGTTGGCTTGTCGGAGAGGGATCTTTCGGTTGGGTGTCGGAGATCTGCGGCATACGTAGTTGTTCTTGGGATGGTACGTGAATGGGCTGTTGAATAGTCTGATGCGTGGAGCCCATGAGCAGAGTGGATTGATTTTCAGTATCAGCTATATCACGGTCTTCTAATTCCAAATGCGAAGAACTTGTATCATTCTCTGCATTAACGCTGTAATGAACAAGGTCAGGCTTATCCAAGGGCTTTATAAAATCCGCAAAATGCGAGGAATTTTCCTCTTCCTCCCCTGTAAGCACCGATTGGTCCTCATCATCTTCATCTTCGTCCAACGCATAAGACACTAAGCTGGCTGCAGCTAGATAAGAAAAAAATTACTTGATGAGACTTTAGGTTACCTGACATCTTAGGCTTCTTTGCAGCTATGTCCGCAGCTTCGGAAATCGTCTGAAGCATGTCTACCTCAAGGGGATCAGGGTCAATTGGGATCAGGTCTAAATTCACTCCAATGAACAGGTTACTTAGAGTACCTTTTCTCTGTATGGGTTGCCGTGGTGTCATTTCATGCTCGTCTTCCGAAGTGTAAATGGGAGGAAAATTCTGACTCTCCGCATAGTCATCTGGAAATAAACATTTCGGAGAAGAAGTAATAGTCAACAACAAAAATGGCGTTAAATCAAAGCCAATCTGGAAGGTAGGTGTCACTGAATAATGTAGCCAAAATAAAGATCAAACAGGGGATCTGCGGACGCGAATGCCAAACTTAATAGTTGAGAAGTCTTTATCGAATAGTCAAATTCGGAAGCTTAACTTAACTGTCGTGCAGCGCCTAATCACATAGCACAGGACCGGTGCTTATCTCTGGGTTGCATATCTTGACGAGAGTACTTGGGAGTGATAACAGAACTCACGAAACCAACCATGCGCGTAAATGTCCTACACAGCTGGTGCTTTCAGAAAAGGTGTCTGTCACTGTGCTCTCACGTTCCGCCAAGGCTTTGATTCTGAAAAGTCGCACCGTTCTAATTAGTCGGATAATGTACCCTACCGGTCGGTTGTCAGGCTATCAGCCGTTGTGGTAAACCTCAGTCACCAAAATCTAATCTGCAAGAATTTCAACTGATTTTGTTTTTGCTCATTCTCCGGTTGAATACATGGTTGCAAGCCGGTCGGCTTAGTGTACTTGAGAAGCTGGGGTTGGATCGTAAGATAGTGACGAAATTGATTGCTAACTTCGAAAACGATGCAAAACGAAATTGGTAGGAGAAACAGCATGGCTATTGATCCGTTCGCTAAGCTGGCGAATTTGGTCACAAACGTTTTACCACAAGTCCAGATGAAACCGACAGTGCTTTGTGAGTGGAAGTGCGCGGATGTAAGCCTGATATCTTCAAATGTCGTGTTGGGTAATATGTGTGCATTTTGTACTGCAGCCCGCATCAAACTGATGGCTCATCCAGAACTTCTGTTTGATGGTATGACAAGGAGGCCGCGACTGATTACTTCAGAAAAATCGAAACGCAACAGAAACAATGGAAACTGAGTTTATGCATATGTTTGAACCTACCGATGGACAGACTTCGAAAGATAAACCTACAAGAAGCTGAGGAGAACTCCAAGGGAACCGCTAGTCTCCGGATGCCGAAACGCTAATGCAGAAACATAACACTATCAATAATCAACCCCAGTCCCCGGATACCTTGCGTGGACGACACTTTTGACAGTATGAAATAGGCCGCAGTAAAAAACACATGTGTTGCTAATTGACGAGATTCGAAGAAGTCTGATTTACAATAGAAACTGAGAAGAATGACTAGTTTAGACGTACTGATAAGTAGGACCACAGAAAATCACGAAGAGACTGTGTATGACAATTTGTTCGACCCAATGAGCTAGATTCTGTGAAATTCCCAGGGTCACCCGGTTCAATTGGGTGGAGGGACGGAGATTAGATAAACAGTTTCCTGGCTTTCCAGGTAGGAGGTTGGAACACGTGGTGACATAAGGGATCAGGTCTAAATTCACTCCAATGAACAGGTTACTTAGAGTACCTTTTCTCTGTATGGGTTGCCGTGGTGTCATTTCATGCTCGTCTTCCGAAGTGTAAATGGGAGGAAAATTCTGACTCTCCGCATAGTCATCTGGAAATAAACATTTCGGAGAAGAAGTAATAGTCAACAACAAAAATGGCGTTAAATCAAAGCCAATCTGGAAGGTAGGTGTCACTGAATAATGTAGCCAAAATAAAGATCAAACAGGGGATCTGCGGACGCGAATGCCAAACTTAATAGTTGAGAAGTCTTTATCGAATAGTCAAATTCGGAAGCTTAACTTAACTGTCGTGCAGCGCCTAATCACATAGCACAGGACCGGTGCTTATCTCTGGGTTGCATATCTTGACGAGAGTACTTGGGAGTGATAACAGAACTCACGAAACCAACCATGCGCGTAAATGTCCTACACAGCTGGTGCTTTCAGAAAAGGTGTCTGTCACTGTGCTCTCACGTTCCGCCAAGGCTTTGATTCTGAAAAGTCGCACCGTTCTAATTAGTCGGATAATGTACCCTACCGGTCGGTTGTCAGGCTATCAGCCGTTGTGGTAAACCTCAGTCACCAAAATCTAATCTGCAAGAATTTCAACTGATTTTGTTTTTGCTCATTCTCCGGTTGAATACATGGTTGCAAGCCGGTCGGCTTAGTGTACTTGAGAAGCTGGGGTTGGATCGTAAGATAGTGACGAAATTGATTGCTAACTTCGAAAACGATGCAAAACGAAATTGGTAGGAGAAACAGCATGGCTATTGATCCGTTCGCTAAGCTGGCGAATTTGGTCACAAACGTTTTACCACAAGTCCAGATGAAACCGACAGTGCTTTGTGAGTGGAAGTGCGCGGATGTAAGCCTGATATCTTCAAATGTCGTGTTGGGTAATATGTGTGCATTTTGTACTGCAGCCCGCATCAAACTGATGGCTCATCCAGAACTTCTGTTTGATGGTATGACAAGGAGGCCGCGACTGATTACTTCAGAAAAATCGAAACGCAACAGAAACAATGGAAACTGAGTTTATGCATATGTTTGAACCTACCGATGGACAGACTTCGAAAGACAAACCTACAAGAAGCTGAGGAGAACTCCAAGGGAACCGCTAGTCTCCGGATGCCGAAACGCTAATGCAGAAACATAACACTATCAATAATCAACCCCAGTCCCCGGATACCTTGCGTGGACGACACTTTTGACAGTATGAAATAGGCCGCAGTAAAAAACACATGTGTTGCTAATTGACGAGATTCGAAGAAGTCTGATTTACAATAGAAACTGAGAAGAATGACTAGTTTAGACGTACTGATAAGTAGGACCACAGAAAATCACGAAGAGACTGTGTATGACAATTTGTTCGACCCAATGAGCTAGATTCTGTGAAATTCCCAGGGTCACCCGGTTCAATTGGGTGGAGGGACGGAGATTAGATAAACAGTTTCCTGGCTTTCCAGGTAGGAAGTTGGAACACGTGACATAGTCCTCAGATGGTCTGGTCTGGTAGTCTCACGTCAATCACCAGTCTTTTGGTAGGGATTTTGAACCAAGGGCTTTGGCTATGGGTCCTAATTGTACGCAAGTTTTAGGGTCCTCAGATGTAGTAGTCTGGTAGTCTCACGTCAATCACCAGTCTTTTGGTAGGGATTTTGAACCAAGGGCTTTGGCTATGGGTCCTAATTGTACGCCCGTCAAGTTTTAGGTGTCCTGGCAGTGTCCCAACCGACACACAACCGCGAACTGCAAGAATAACAATACCACACTGGTGCCATCAGGCGGACCGTCTCGATGTCTACAGCAGGGCGCATAGTCGAAAACAGGCTGTTGTTGATACCTATCTCTTTGAGATTATCCTTGAACTCTCTTCCTGCCCCATTTAACTATCAGTCTTCTATAGAACACAGCCGCAAGCATATCATTCTTGGATCCGAAGAAGTGGTCAACAGTATGCCACCATTCACGTTTGTCGCTTCGCCTCCGCTTCTCAGGCCTTGTTACCCTGATTTTATCGCGACGTTTAAAGTGCGGACTCCAAAGCGAACGGGTTAACGAGCTGCTCTGGTGCACATTCTTGACACTTCCTGGATAGATATTTGCTGCGTTTCCGAAACTCGAACAAAAGATCAATTTAGGATAAGAGCTTACGACACCCTCATGATGGCCTGTTCAGCAAGGACTCAAGACGTAATAACAGTGACAGTCGTCTTTTGCAGCGTTGTACTGATCACCAGTTGTCCCTCAATGGTACTGAATGGAGAGGCAATTGACCAGATTGCGCTATTTAGCGTCTGTTTACTGATTGAAAATCACGGAATCCGACTGACCGCATGGGCAAAGCTCCAGTCTCGATTGCCGATATTCTGGACCACCCACGTTGATTCAGATCATGCTATCGTTCGGTATAGATTTTCTAAGTTTGTCGGGTAGACCTAAGGAGCAAATCCTTCGTTTAGCCAACGAGAGAATTTCTGACCCATGGATTAAACGACGTTACCAGTTAGCCTATGTGGAGTCCTAACAGCCACACCTTGGGAGACCGAAAGGGTATCTGAGACAATTTAAAAACCGCCACTCATAAGGCAAATAACTCAATCAACAGTGCTTCGGAAAGCTTACAAAGTAAACACTGGATTCCAGAATAAACGCGGTCATCCCTTCGAGAGCTGGGCACAATTCAGTCAGAAGAGCTGTTGGACCTGTTAATCGGTAAGCAATATGCCGTGTCACACACGTTCATAAGTACACCGAAGTACACCCACATGCGGACCTCCTCATAGAGGCCGTCCAAGTAACAGCTATGTATGAGATGCAACGTACACAATAATAAATGAGCGAACAGTTTCAATAGCTCCCAAAAGACAACACCTTAAAGACTGGCCAATATGGTTTTCTTCATAGAAACATTCCTTCTTGGAAAATGTAAGTTTCTGAGCTTAAAATCGCAGCATTTTTCAGCGGAACTATCTCGGATTTTATTGCAACGCGGGTTCATCATCAATGACAGCAAAATTCCAGCCAAGTGTATGCTGGTGCTCAAATGCCATGCAGCCAGCAGGACAGAATGTCCTGGCAGAATGGTGAGAGAATGGAAGGTTAGGGACTTGGCGCGAAGAAGTCGTATGCTCAAGAATAGAGTATCTATAACTTAAAACGTCACTTGAGGAAGCAAAGCTGGACACCATATCGGAGCACGGTACCACCGGTGAGGTTGCCCGGTAGCTTCTGTGAGCCCCAGCCCTCATAAGCCCGGCGCAAAATACAGAACTCTAGCTAGGTAGTCCGGCTAGAAAGTGGCAAAACACGAACCTATGGAATTGGTACTAGAAAGTCTCCAGCCATGTACAAGGTGGATCGCGCAGACCCCAGCCAGGAGGGTTTGAAGTTTCCGCAGAACTCAGTTTGACTTTAGTTAATTTCATTTTAGGGGGCGAGATCGTTCAGTGGTTAGAGCACGAAGTTACCGAGAGGAAGGTTCGTGGTTCGAACGCGACCTCTGCTTCTCGACTCCCCCGTCTGACCTGGCAGTATTCCAGCCCTCGTGCTTCCTTCTGGTGACATAGCAGTTAGGTACCGAAAGGGTGTTACGGCTGAACGATTGTCATTTCATTTTAGATTACTGTCATTATCTGCCACCTACAAACGTTTCACCAACAACTTTCGGAGTGTGCAGTACCTGTCCCAACACGATTAATTTTATCTGATGCCCTGGCAATTATGACTTGTTCCCAAGACCTCATTTACATGTCATTCCGTTGCATACATGCTTCGGCCTGCTTACCCTTTCAAGGCTGCGGAGAAAATAAATAAATATCTGAAGGCGTTTGGGGTCCTCGGAATGAAAGGACGGTTCTAGTAGTTGATTTGCATACGCGCTCCCTTGAATTCAGCTACATTTGTTTCTGACAACGTAACTGACAAGTCGACGGATGTTGTTTGTACCTTGATTAGGCTCATTTTGATTTCAAATGATACAGAACTATCACGGCTTATATGTTTGTCATCCTGAAGTTTCAAAAAACTTAAGGAAGACGGGAGATCGTGAATTAAGTACACTGCACATCGAAGGTTCATAACGAACGTCGAAGAGAAGTTGGTGCTGACAAGTGATAGTAAAATGGCAAACTGATGTCAGCCGTAAAATCTGAGTCCATGAGTGATTTTATACATACTTTCATGCTACCTAGGATCGCGTTCTCTATGTTGAATCATACTACAAAATTTAACAATCTCGAAAAGACGACAATCCCGGCAAACTCTATGAGTTATGAGGAGAGCTTGAGAGATCATCGTACACCCTGACGATAGTGTATGAGAATGAGGGGCACGAAGTATGTTTGCAAAAGTTAAGGGCATTGTCCTCTGGACAGATACATTTATAAAAAAATCTGTTCCCAAATTAGAAAGCTCCGAAGTCCAAAAAACCGCGACTGTTGGTCACTATCGCTGCTTAATGTGAAACTATAGTCAACGTAACCACTAACATATCGAAATTCTGACCTCGGACTTGTGTACCACATATCAGATTCAGGCATTGCACTAGTGGAGAAGCTGTCAGCCGTGATACGACAGGCACGAGGCTACATTTCTACACTGGAACAGTTATTTCGAGCACATTTTTCGAATACAGGTACTGCCGTCGAGTGACCCAGTTCTCTGTAACCCGTTCGCCATGCTACGCAGCAAACGTTTCATTACTAAGCGAAGAGACTTCGTCAGCGAGTAATCAGGTCGTTAACGGAGGCGTGGAACAGGAAGCCTCAGAACCAGTCTCTGTGGTTGACTTGCGTTGGCTAAAGGGTCGGTCATCGTTTCATTAATCCGAAAGGTAATAGTCCTGTTTTGTGGACGAAAATAGAGTCCATATAAAAGGGGACCATGGACGTCGTATGCAGTCAACATTTGCAGTTTGGTTTCGTGTCGCAGGCGGCTTTTGGACAGTCAAGGCAGACAATGTCAATCCCGAGGCTTTCGTCGAAGTCCATAAACCTATTGTTACCTCCTTAATCCATGATGCACAGATGACAGCATCATCATCAGCATAATGGACAGAAACACCAGGAAGTACGACCATATCAGTTTATTCGAATGTCTTATAATGGAAACGAGAAATGAAGGAGATGAGGTTGAGGACCTAGCGTTGGTCTGAGTTGCCTACACCCCCAACGCTCAATCTGACAATCCGGATAGAAACTGACATGGTTGGCTCCATGACTTTGAACTGGACGTGAGAGAGCATTAGAACCAGACCCTATGTCGTCCCCGTAAACTGGGGTACTCAGCCTAGATTTCCACTGTTAATGAACATACGATGCTTTTGATGGTGATTGGTTAATGGTCCCAAGCAGACAGTTTCAGGTATGTTGCTACCGATGCCAACAGCCGCATTTTTTGAAGTTTGAAGTTTATGCTGGACAGCACTGACAGCGAGAGTGCCATGATTGAATAGTGTATAGGCATTGCAGAAAGCAGGCAGACAGTTTCAGGTATGTTGCTACCGATGCCAACAGCCGCATTTTTTGGAGTTTGAAGTTTATGCTGGACAGCAATGACAGCGAGAGTGCCACGATTGAATATTGCATAGGCGTTGCAGAGACCCAGCAAATGACAATCTATAGAGCATTTACAATGCGCTACAACAGCCTGTTGACCAATCTGCCTGACAGTTCGCACTTTAGAGGCTGTAATATAACCTGACGGCAGGGTGTGAACAGCGGACACGAAGGAGTTTTGAGTACGATTGGGCGCCCCCTGGGTGCCCAAACAAACTAGTTACGCTTTGGATTGACACGAGGGCGATTATTGGGCGGAGGGTGGTTAGGGAATAATAATGGTGAAAAGGAGACGTCAGCTACCCCACGTTCCCGGTTGGCCGCCCAGACCTAAAAAACAAGGTTGTTGTCATTACGTGGCGGTCGATGTGGCGTGAAGGTTTTCTTCGTGTAGTTTGTGGATGTATCTGGGTAAAGATATTATCCGGGAGCCCAAACCTAGATAGTAGGGTTATTATGGTCCGGTCGCTAGGCAGCAGCAGTTGGTGTAAGAATATCAGAGCAGCTCAAATCTTAACGCAAAACTGGTGCACTTGTTGCTAACTCAAACTTGAAGACCACTGGACTGGTTTTTTTTAGAATCTCTCCAGGGCGACATCATGTGGACGAGGCATGGATATCTTTCAGTAAAGCTCAATCAGTTACCGAGGTAAGCAAACTACCGTGAGGGTGAATTCCGACTAACAATTGATGAATTAGGGCCTTGAACACAACTGACGATTGATAGTAATCTTGGCGGATTCCCCTTATTTCATAGACAACATCCCAAAAATAAACGAGAGTTAGTAACCGCAATCCAAGTTATTAGTTCCTTGCATATGATTTCCGATCAGCAACCCCTAATTTCCAATTTTCTGGTTGCAGCTCAAGGAACTAAAAAAACACAAGAAGGTTTGTTGCGGGGTTAACTCAGCCCACAATTCATGGGATCGAAAATGTTATTTCATCAAGCTTCTTGATTTGGTAATGTTGTACATCTGGGTTTTACAAGACCGCAAACGGCAACCCTGCGTTATTTGGATTACCTTAGTTTTGACACCATATTCTTGCCATTTCCACAGTAAGATAGAACATTTCGGGGCTTGATCAGCTGTAGGGTGAATATGTGTGCAAATGGGCTCGATCGTTGCGCTGATTGACTCAACGGTCAAGGAGTAAATCACTCAACGCTCACGTTCGTTATCCTCAATGCTACCGTTCTGCGGGCAATAAGGCCCATTCAGGGACCCAATAACATCCAACAAAGTTGGGCAGATATGCAGATGTGACTGGCAGCCACCATAAGCACCACATCAGTGACCACATCATTAGTTAAGATGTCAGTTTACACTGATTCAACAACCTTATGTGGTGCATACGATATGGAATACACATAAGCGAGCAAGAATCGAACATGCACAGAAAATAAGCTGAGGAATTTTCTTTTTGAGGGTATCCGATTTCTCGATGAGGGACCTCATTTCTCAGAGTAAATAATTTTCGGGTCGAGAATTCTGTCCTCTTTTGGGGCCACATAGTTTTGATAAGCCAGAGCTGTGCCGGCCCATTAGTTTCGCGAGATAGTCACTAACTACTTACATATCGTTAGTAGCTCCGACAAAACATAAAAGAGCAATGTGGTCGGCCACGAATAAGTCACAGAGAGAATCGTTACGGAGGTGAACTTTTACGGGCACGTCATAGAAAACAAGTAAAGACGAAATAGGCGAAAAGTTTGTTCTTTGGAAAGTTTGTGTGAGGCTTGTCAGGTTTTCCACTTTGTAGTTTGTTGTCCAACAACCCGTTAAGCCATAGCGTTACCAGTCATCCTATGCAGAAAATCCTCACCCCATGGTACTATGTGACTCACAGTTCTGATATGATTAGACCTTTAAAAACACTCGGCAGTTCGTGCGACAGATATCCGAAAAACCGAGCGAACAACCATGTCTGCGAGACATCGTAAAAGCTTACGGGCCGAAAAAATAGTCGGATTGGTGCGAAAATCTTGCTCTTCACCAAAGAACAGGCGAACATTGACGAGAATAGGGCATTTAAGAAGAACACTTACCGTCATTTTCATTCACCAGCGCCATTCCAAATATGAATGCTAAAATGAAGGCAAGCAGAAATTGAGAAAGTATATGAGGAGTTTCTGTTGGCATTTCGGTCGAACATACTAGTGATTTTCCATCTGGGATGTTGGATAATAAATTTAAAAACGGTTCTATGAAAAGGACCAAGACAAAGGGAATAGGTGATGGAAAATGGCTCGAAGATAGTCGTTCGGATAGATGTACAGAAAGCTTTAGGGACTGAGAAAATGTGCATCACAGAATCGGCAAACGATTGAAGTGAGACGGGGCTAGATTCATGAAAACAGGCGCTTTTCCCGATCACATCACAAAATCAAACCCAAGAAAAGTCATGGGTAAGAACTGATTCGCGTGGTTGAGGAAGTTTCCCCAACAGACTACGGGCGATTTAGCCCTTTGGTGGACCATGAGAAGGGTGCAGTCCCAGAGTTCCTATCTTATTCCGTACTGGATGAGAGTCGTCCTCCTCGATCGTCACAACCAGGACAGTTACTGAGTCGTCGTTCGATGAGTTGGGCACACCAATCACATCGCTCACGCGTGGACACGTTCGCCTATTCAGGCATGAGAATTCAGATGCGTTCAACGTGCGCTGGTGGAGTATTGGTTAAACGCTCGCCTCACATGTCACATGTCCGAGGTTCAAACTCCGGCAGGGCCACTGGATACGCACTGCTGATGAGTTTTAATAAAAGCGAAACTCGAGTCTAGTGCTTCCCCATTTTGATGTGGACTCACCAGAATAATTACGACAGAACAGGAGGATGACAGTTCAAATGAGTGATGTGGATAAGA